GACCAGGATGTGACACAAAAATCTGAATTATGGAACTGAAAGTGAAAGTAGTCAAACTGAATTTTTAATAAAACAAAATGCAGTTTCAAAGAAAATTATTTCAAATTAAAAACTTTAAAGTCAGTTTCAATTTAGTGAAATTTATTTTTAAACCAATGCATTCAGTTTCATATTCTGCACATCCAGATTTAATCTGAGCAGTTCAGATTCAGTTCCTGCTGGTAATCCCATAAACGTGTCACATGACAACACAACACAAAACAGTCTTAAGAAGCAGCAGATTGTGTTGAATCATTTCATCACAGTCTCCATCCTGAGCTGCACGTTGGTGACAGTGGAGAGAAAAACTCCCTTTTAACAGGAAGAAACCAGCAGAACCAGAACCAGGCTCAGGACCAGCAGCCATCTGCCTGGACCGGATGGGTTTGAGGACAGGAAAGAGACACAAACACTGTTAACAGCTTTTTACAAAAACACAATTTGTTTCATTTCCTTTATCAGAAAACAGTTGGAAGATGTGACTGACAGGTGTTTTACTGACCAGGTGTTTCCCTTAAGGTTGATTGCTCAAACATTAAACAGGTCTGTATGACTGGTCTACTGTTTGGCCTGGCTTTAAACAAATAAAGTTTTTCTTGTAAAAGAGGAAAAACCAACATAAAGACCAGAGAGCTGTTGGGTGTGTCCAGAACAGAACCAGACTTGGTTTAAAGCAGATCAGAACCAACTGTCAGCGTCTGAATTCAGAGATTAATACAGATTAATTATAATTTGTTGTCTGTAATCCTGAGTGTGTTTGGTTCCAGTGGACAGCAGCAACAGAAGCAGTGAGTTTGAGTCGGGGAACCTGGTGTCGACAGTGACCCGTGTGATGGTGAGCCAGAACAGGCTGTACAGCGACTCAGAGGAGGTGCTGGCCCTGCAGGTGTTCAGTGAGGTCATCGAGATGGAGGGCCGACAGGTAAACACTGTCTTTACCTGACAGATCAGGTGAAGGCCTTGACTTCCTGGAAGAAACTCTTTCACTCATCATTCCAGAGTTTCAGACTAAGATCATCTGATGGTGAACAGTGATAAAGCTGGAACCTTTTTGGTCAAACTTTGTGTAAAACTGACTGAATTACAGCCATTTTATGCTTTTTAAAGTCAGCTGGCTGTGGCAGCCATTGATACAGTGGTTTGCAAAAGTATTCATACCCCTTGAACTTTTCCATATTTTGTCACATTACAACCACAAACATAAATATATTTCACTGG